ACGGACACTCCCACAGAGACACACACACTCAGACAAAAATACAGACAGCCACACAGACACTTACATATAAACACACACAGGGAAACACACAGCACACATATTTACATTCGTGCTCACACACTGACACACACACCACACATAAGCAGACAAACATGCAGACACATACATACAGCCACATAGACACACACGCAGTCAAACACACACACACAAATACAGACAAACAGGCAGACAAACACATATTGACACCCACAGAGACAAACACGCAGAAATACATACACATACAAAAACATAGAAATACACACGCAGACACATATATTCAGCACGCAGCACGCACAGACATATACTCTGACATGCAGACACATACAGACAACAAAGGGGCACACACAATACACACAGAGAAACACACAAAGACATGCACAGACAGACAGACACATGGTGACACATACACTCACGCAGACAGACATACAGACACCCACACACAGAGATACATACATACAGCCTCATAGACACACCCGCAGACAAAACACATTAGCATACACAGGCAAACATAAAGACAAACACCGGAACTGAAGGTATGACACCATGAGACTAACGAATCTGTCTGGATAAGAGACCAACAGGAACTAAAGGTATGACACCGTGAGACTAAAGAATCTGGATGGATGGGAGACTAAGGAACTGAAGGTATGACACCGTGAGACTAACGAATCTGTCTGGATAAGAGACCAACAGGAACTGAAGGTATGAGACCATGAGACTAAAGAATCTCAGTCTGGATGGGAGACTAAGGAACTGAAGGTATGACACCATGAGACTAAAGAATCTCAGATTGGATGGGAGACCAACAGGAACTGAAGGTTTGACACCATGAGACTAAAGAATCTCAGTCTGGATGGAAGACCAACAGGAACTGAAGGTATGACACCGTGAGACTATAGAATCTGTCTGGATGGGAGACCAACAGGAACTGAAGGTATGACACCATGAGACTAAAGAATCTCTGTCTGGATGGGAGACTAAGGAACTGAAGGTATGACACCGTGAGACTAACGAATCTCAGATTGGATGGGAGACTAAGGAACTGAAGGTATGACACCGTGAGACTAACGAATCACAGATTGGATGGGAGACTAAGGAACTGAAGGTATGACACCATGAGACTAAAGAATCTCAGATTGGATGGGAGACCAACAGGAACTGAAGGTATGACACCATGAGACTAAAGAATCTGTCTGGATGGGAGACCAACAGGAACTGAAGGTATGACACCATGAGACTAAAGAATCTCAGTCTGGATGGGAGACTAAGGAACTGAAGGTATGACACCATGAGACTAAAGAATCTCAGATTGGATGGGAGACTAAGGAACTGAAGGTATGACACCGTGAGACTATAGAATCTCAGACTGGATGGGAGACCAACAGGAACACCATAAGGCTAAAGAATCCCAGTACAAATGGAGTGGAAAGGAGAGTGGGGGGGGGGGGGGAGGGTATTTAAAATGTGTTGAAAGGCAGATATACGTTTAATCAGACTGCTAGTGGCAATACTGGTGTTGGAACTCTGCGCTGGCTGCTGAGGATAGGGTCGGGGCATTTGTGGTAATGCCCTGCGAGCTTTAATGTCGGTCCTTGAAACTGCTCAACTTACCCCAACTCAATTATACATAATCAAAGATATGAAATAAACAGAAATGTCTCAAGTAATACTTCAAATAGAGAAGGCGTACATATGGTTGGGAAAAAGTTGGGGAGGGGTGGGAGAGAACTTAGTTTTCTTACTATTTTGGGGAGTGGAAAGGGGCAGTTCCCGATTCTAACCAGCTAACGACCCCAGTTGTAACCAGCAAACGCTAACGACCCCAGTTCTAGCCAGTTAACGCTAACGGCCCCAGTTCTAACCAGCTTATGCTAACGACTCCAGTTCTTACCAGTTAACGCCGACGACCCCAGTTCTAACCAACTAACACTAGCGACTCCAGTTCTAACCAGCTAATGGTATGCGACCCCAGTCCTAACCAGTTAACGCTAGCGACCCGAGTTCTAACCAGCTAACGCTAGCGACCCCAGACAACCAGCTAACGACCCCAGTCCTAACCAGCTAATGCTAACGACCCCAGTCATAACCTGCTAACGCTAACGACCCCAGTCCTAACCTGTTAACGCTAACGACCCCAGTCCTAACCAGCTCACGACCCCAAACCTACCCCAGCTTTCCCTACCCCCAAATACACACCACCAAACCACGACTATTTCTCTCTGCTTCCTTTCCAACAAACAGACCGACTTTGTACCCACCATTCATCAAATCTACAACTTAAATCCTCATCGCAACAAAATCATCATCTAGCAACAAATGCGCTCCATTTCTTACGCATTATCTACGCAGTTACGCGTAACCCTGCCGCCATTACCTTGTTCTCATAAGAAATTATTACAGTTTGCAGGGCGCAGTATAAACGACCTATCGAATTATGCATGCAGGGTTGCTAAACAACACCGCCATCTATCGCCCTAACAAGTGAAATCATTCACTCGACATTCATTCGAAAGAACATCGGGAATTTCCCCCCAGGGAACCCTTTTGTGCAGCTTGCCTTTTTTTTTTTTTTGGTTCATGTGTTTGACATTTTTGTGTTTCTGTAAAGGTGACATGTTCTGTAGCCGTGTGTAATTATTTGGAATTATATCTTTACGTTAATGCTTTTATTCGCAGTAAATGAGGTTTGTTTCGTTATTTTTAGATATAGATCTCTATTTTCTACGAAACAAACCAAATGAGTATGTGAATTTAATATGCTAAAGTAAAATAGTAATTTTTAAACAATGTGTGTGTGTGTGTGTGTATGTGTGTGTCTATAAAGGAGAGACTGCTTAAAAATAGAGTGGCAGAATAGATGACTAAATGGCTCCCCACACAACTGAGTAGGGATGCTGCATCAAGATCAAACAAGGAGAAAGAACCTAATTCTTTAAAAGAATGTGATAGGCTTGTATGTTTGACTCTGGACATGTAGTTGATAACGAAAGTGCCTTTAGAATTATTTACCACGCACTGAATGGAAGTTCGCTAAAAGTGGTCGAGGCAATAACAATAAAACTTTACTCTCTTATGTTATGTAAACAGAAAGATCACGTGATAAATGTGAAGTTACCATGGTAATAACGTGACTGATTGTGAATTTCCGGCGGATTGTACAGCGACTAAACAGTGTGCTTTATACATTTCAGCAAGAAAAAGATTCATTTTTGTGCTTCATTGTATGTTGATGTAACTCTTTATAACGCACATGACGAGAAACAGCGAAATTTGCCTGGCAATAAACCGTGCAATGCGTCGTTTGTGTCCACACTATTTAAATTTACAACGGAAAAACATTGTTTTAAATATATCTATATCTATACTTTACGACACAATTATATAACTCACGTACTTAGCATGCATAGTATATTAAACGTCACGCATATAATCGATGATTTAACTGTTACTAGATTATCCTTCACGGTATGTTTTAGAAACATCCTAGCAATTGTTTTGTGTGTGTGTTGTGGGTGTTAGTGTGGCTGATTGTGATTTTACTAGGCAATTGTACGGTCAGTAGTTTGCCACTTTAATTTTCATTGGGGAGGAAAATTATATCCTAACCTGCACAGTGCGTGGCGACTGCCTTAGCCATTGAGTCCTTAATCTGCAGACTCAAAGACCCCACCCCCACCCCCTTTTTCCCCACCCCTTTTCCGCCTATACCATAAAAAGTGGTAAATACAAGCAGGTTTTTTTTATGTGGGCGATGTATTTTACCCTTGCTTTCATATCGATAGGTTATCAATGCTACTGTTGATTTTAACGCAGCGCTGTCTTCAGCCTGACAGCCCACAGCTGGAATCAGGTATTTCGTAGTTATAAACGGTGTTCCTAACACATAATTGAAAAGCAAGAAATCATTCATAAAGTTAAGCTAGATCTGTAAAACAGATTTACACGCAAAACTCAAGTCCTGAAACGAGACTAATTCCAGAAGAGGACGAACAACCAGAACTTTCATCTGGAGTTTAGAACGAGGCAACAATGAAAAGAATACAAAGTCATTCATTCTTTATATTTGACTGTATATATTCTTTGCTGATTCCAACAGCTGGGTGCTTTATTAATATCCTACCTCAAACAGGGGAAATCTACAGGTCAAGGGACAGTCTAATATTTCAGGGGGTGGTAGGCTGCATGCAGTCCTGGGTCCTAGGCGGCACTCTATAGTGTGACGTAGGTGGGTTGGGGTTAAAGCCAGTTCTAGATGTTTTGGGGTCGTTGAAAGCAATAGACAACAGGGAAACGCAGTCTAACCACCCTCTAAAATGTTGGACTGTCTTGTGACGTCATCTAGGGTAGGATAGTAATAAAGCACCCAACAGTTGTTATCGGACATTTCATTTTGGTGGATCTCAATTTGTCAACTGTGCCTAGATTTCCCTTGTTGATCTCAGTGAAAAGACTGAGCACTTTGTGAGAATGTAAGTGAGCATTTAAAGTAATCAAGTACTCTCACTCACCATTTGTCACCCCGACTCTTGAAAGAAAGAAAAAGAAAAATCCACATTCAGCTCTGAAGTACCTTAATTATCAAGTCCTGCTCTCGCTCACGAATGTTTTCCCCAAACCCACTTTTTCTATACTTCTAACAACGTATATTTTCTCCTAAAATATACAGGTCGTGCAAGCGCTTGAATTAAATCGTTTTTCTTATTTCGGTTTAGCAAAAACATAGTCTGATTCCAGATTTTTGTCAACGGGCAGCAAAATTCCTAATATGTAATTAGAATGGCAGCCATTTTTACCAGCCTTCTGTAGAATCAATTCAGGGTATGCTCTGCCGTTCAAATGTTCGTTTAGCATGGAAGCTATCGATGCCAGATCTTGAGAAATGTCTGGTCGTTTTAATGCCTTTAACAGCTTTAGAGTTCTTTACTTTTTTAACCTCTATCTTAACGCTAATGTTTAGAGCTTTAACTCGTTTAGTACCGAACACATCACTGTGCGTTTATAAGAGCTCTCTTTCGATCTTGTTCTGTAAACATCCTTATCTCATTTAGTATCATGATTTGTTGGTCTCCATTTGTCTGATATTTTTATTAACCCATTGCAGCCATCAAGTTGTTGAATGAATGAATAAATGAACATCATTGCACTAGGGACATTCCCACACGTGCTTAGTCCTCTTCTTCAGTAACCAACGAAGAATTGCCATGATAACAAAGACTGAGAGGAAGGCTAAGTGGTCTCGAGGTATGGTGTCTGCCTCGAGTGCTGGAGGCCCAGTGTTCAAGCTGCTATGAAGGCTGAAATTTTTTTTTTCCACATGGACTTCTAGTAATTCGGGAGTCGCCGTTGCAGAGTGGCAAGATGCGCGCCGCGGATCGAAAGGTCGTGGGTTCGCTCTCTTAAGAAATGACCTTGGCTCCCAGGTCGACCCAGCCTTGAGTAGGTACCGGGTGCAGTCCCGGGAGGTAAAGGCGGCCGGTGTGATGCTGACATATCACCCATCTTGTGCCGTTGGTCTATAAAATATAAGTCTGGCCCTATATGCCTAAAGGAGTGGAAAAGGGTCCTTAACTTTACTTATTTTTACTTTCTAGTAATTGCCCCTGATCTCCGGGTAGTAAGATCAGACACCGGTGTCTACTCTTGCGCACGTAAAAAAATCTCTTGGCAGTTGGAAATCCAAATGAGTAGCCTAACGGCGCTGCGCAGGCAAAATTTTGATTTAAAGAATCTACCTCAAGTATTTCAGGATCCTTGCCGGTGCAACAGAGTTCGTGCACTGCGCAGAGATTTCTTAGACTCACGCTTCAGTTAGAAGTAGAACGAAGCACTTATGGGGTACACCCGTGTGCCATGATGATGATCCGTCGAATAAACACATCGTGTTACCGATTTTCTGTCCAGGATATTCACGTCTTAAATAAATAATAGCCCAGCTCTCTAGCGTAGTTGGTTAAACCTGACTTTCGCAACGGCCGAATGACGAACTCCTTGTGGTCCGGGTTCACTCCTTGGGGTAGGCAGGAAAGCCACATTTCTCCCAGATTAACGGTACCTATAACGGAATCAAGGCCGAAAGGTTGAGATATCCACAGTACCGAGCAAAGGGTTTACAACTCATGGTTTCTGGATACTTAAAAAAAATAATAATAATAATTAGACCGCCTAGATGTATCGAAACATACTGGGTTTTTTTTTTTTTTTTTTTTTTTTTTTTTTTTTTTCTCCTATATTCATCACTTGTAAAATTTTAGTTCGGTAACCACACAAATGTTATAGTTAAGGTTAAGGTTAGTTGCGTATCCTTTACAGGACGTTGCAGAACCAGCCGTTGTGTGGTTTCTCTAGGCAAATTTACGTCCAGTAGTTTGCCATTGCTTCCTGGACGGTCGGCCCCCTTAGACAACTGTCGAAACCAACGCAAGGCGCACGGCCCGCGGCTGGGGTCGAACCCAGCACCCCGGCATTACGAAGCGTTCGCATCGACTTAGCCACAGAGCCGACAAATGTTATAGTACGGACGTGAATGAATGACCCTGACCACATATGGTTCGCCTTTAAGAACGTGCCACGAATCTCAGAAATAGTCGAGTACACTTCCATGTTGCGATACTTTCAGCACAATATTCTTATTCGGTAAACCTATTTCGCTGTTCCATAACTGGTTATGACAATTATTATGGAAAGTAATGGCAAGATATGGAGTAAGCGAACACCTCATCGAAGTGTGCAAAAGTTTATACAAGGATTGTAGAAGTGTAGTTAGAATAAATCAGGAAACATCTCATCCATTCACAGTAACATCTGGAGTAAGACAGGGGTGCGTCTTATCACCACTGCTGTTAATCACCTACATCGACAGTGTATGCAAGAATGCCAAGCCCATGAATGAAAATGTTAGTAAGATCAACGAATTACTCTTTGCAGATGACCAGGCCTTGATAGCAGATATGAGAATCAACACTGAAAAGACAGAAGTAATGTCAATAGGAAAAAAGAAGACAGATCTAAACATAGCAATAGAGTACAAAGGCATTAAACAGGCATCTGAGTTTAAATATTTGGGAACTACATTTACTGAAGATGGGAAATTGGATACAGAAATTAACATTAGATGCAGTAAAGCCAACCAAGTATTGGGACAGCTAGCCACACTCTTACAGCATAAGACAATCCCAATCAGCACAAAGAGACATCTTATTCAAAGCATATTTATTCCAACTCTGTGCTACCAGTGCCAGACATGGTCACTCACAACAAACCATAAAAGAAAATTAGTAACCACGGAAATGAGATGTCTGAGAAGGGTTGTAGGAGTGACCATAAGAGATAAGATCAGAAATGAGATCAGATAAGAGAAAAAGTCGGCACAGAATCAATTCTAAATTACATACAAAGACAGCAAGTGAAATGGTTTGCCCACTTAGAGAGAATGCCTTGTGACACCATACCATACAAAGCATA